TACAAAGATGGGTTGCGGAAAATTTACGAGCAATCATCTCATTTAAGCATCTTGTCAATAGATCACTCATGCAATCACATTTGACAACCATCGAAAAGGAGTTTGTTCGCTACTCGTGTTGTTTTATTAACGTCATCATCGAAATTTTTAGTGAACCTAGCTGGTGTGCGTAATCGACTTCGTACATATGAAATTGGAGCGGAGCCAAGGATGACCACTGGTGAGCTCAATAGAGACAGCGGTTTAACAGGAGAGGGTTTACGTCACTTTGGTTTGGTGTCGCTGTTTATTTATTGTTCAAGAATCATACTACTGAATAATAGTCAGTAATCAACGCTCGATTCTTTTCAGACCAATCTACGAGGATGTTTGTTCCAGGAACTGAGGTCATATGCTTCCAGGGAAATTTTGTCCAGTCATTCACATACTACTTATTTCTCGGGCTCATCGTTTAGCACAGTCTGAACTCGGACGGGTAAGGAATACGCAACGTATAGGAAGCGTCCGATGCTAAACATAATGACTACTACTTTCCCCGTCTTCGAAAGATATAGAGAGGCTTCAGCTGTTGATTTCACATCTGTTTCGCGCTTGTCTGAATGGTGAGGTTGTGCGCTTTTCAACTTATTCTTTCTAACAGTCATAGCTATCTTTTGGTGCATCGACTGAACGACAGTACACTAAATAACAAAGCATCAAAAACTAAGTGGAATGAACAAGGTTAAAAGATGGGAAAATGTAGTACAGCCACTGATTTAAGTTTAGTTTGGCATCAGCAACAGGTTATATGCTCTTGGTGCAGTCTGATGGCTGCATTCCTATGATCACTTGTTCAACATGGAAAGTTACATGAACAAATTGTTACGATCAAACTCATTCAGTTTCAGTTTTTACAACCACTACAAAACGTTGTTTCTACTCCATTCATTCAATGAAATCTACCGCTACAGTTTTGGGGGTTGGAGCAACTCACCCATTCCGAATATAGTCTGGTTTCAATACGGGGAATGCTTTGAATCACTTTCAACATATTGTCAAACATGCTTATCAAAACTGCTTCGAAATCCTCAATCGATGGTTCGAATCGGATCGAAGACTCGTCCAAAATAAGACGGAGTATGAACCCCGGGAGTTCATATGCAAGTGAGGCGTCCTTGGGAGGGCGAAAGAGGACGCACGAATGAGAGCATTCACTGTGTTGTGCGAATACATAACCGAAATGGAAACAAAAGCCAATAAACTAAATGACATAAAAACAAACATTGCGGTGAACTGAACATACAAAACGTTTGTTGAACATGATGTGACCCTGATATTGCTTCTCTGGATGAATACGTTCGATCAGGCGCTAAATAAAATAAATGAAAACAGGTCAGCAAAAGTGATTAAACATTCCGCTTATAAATGCATACATGAACAAATCTTCAAATTTAAAATCATATAAACAAACATTTATGTATGTATGTATGTATGTATGTATGTATGTATGTATGTATGTATGTATGTATGTATGTATGTATGTATGTATGTATGTATGTATGTATGTATGTATGTATGTATGTATGTATGTATGTATGTGTATCGATGAACTGAGGATTGTGCGTGAAGGTGAAGTACGAAGGATAGTCAGTCAAATCAATCAATATCAATTATCCCACACACACCACTCGCAATTAATTGTGAGGTAAATTCGAATAACTAAGATGATGATTCTGTCGTGGAACGAGTGTGCGCGTATGTGCGAAACGAACAATTTCTGACGTGATCCATATTTTCACCTTGTATTGTTCAACAAAGTTTTGCTTCTTTCACTGAACTGATTCAGGAGAGTTTTACTTGTTATCACACTGTAGGATTATTTACAATCACCAAGAGGAATTTTTAACAATCTGATGTGTGATTACTAAATTTGATTTGACCTCCTTCCCAATGGTACATCACTTTGTGTAGCAAACAACTTTCCCGTCCTGACTCATTACCATGAATACCTTCAGCAGGATGCAACAGCCAGTTGACTAGTCCGTTTCTCGAGGTCGAGGTTGCCTGTTCCCACAGCCAAACCGGGGTTCATGTGAACATGCATTTCAGGACTGTAACTGTTACTACTATTCTATCGTCCGACTTGTGGGTGACGTTATATCTGTACCCATTTCTAGGTAGCGGGAAGTTGTCTTTTCGTATAAAATAATGGATGCATTAGCGAGTTCCCACTGTCGTCAATGTGTGATTGCCACACTAATCACCAGACGCGATTATAAGCTAAAGTTCTCTGAACCGATCAACCTTGGCAAAATTATCGTACGCTGCCTCAAAAATTCATTCTACAGTTCCCTGAGCGCAATTAATGAAAAACCTCAGTCCATTCAGATCTCTTATCATGGATTATTTGAAAGCAGTGTGCTCTTGATTCTTTCGCCTCTTCTCCGTGAAAATTCTCGCTTGGATCGTACTAGTTGAAGCAAAAGTCGGAAATTCTCGGTGTCATTTATTCTTCGTTAGTCCCTACCCCTCTACAGCTTGATTTTCAGTGAAGACAATCATATATGTCTTCAAATAAGCCTTTTCCTTATGCGGAAAATATGGTTCTATGGGGCTCTATCCATTAGTGAATCACAAACGAAGCCCAAAAGGCTGGACAACACTACAAAGTATCTGATAATAAGCAGAATCCGCTTACCCTATTGCATTTGCTGCCAAAAATAACATACTGGATGCCTCCGGTATTCTAACATTTTATCCCGTTTTCTGTCCTACTTATTGATAATCCTTTCAATTTATCGATCAAAAATATAATCTTTTTCCTAGAACTTGTGACACACTAATGCTTTCATTGTTAATTGTCACATTCGCATGATGTTCACATGATGTTAATCACTATGTCATTCTTCCCAAAATGCACTGATTTTCCAGATCGGTCACACGCATCATTGCTTAAAAACCTAATTTAAATTACAATACAATCTTTGATCTATCAAAACGCATGGATTACTTGTACGTAATTCAAGTGTAGTTCAATAGGGGGAAAACGTCAACTGATATGCACGGAGTAATTTCTTGTTAGGAACTGGAAATAGCAGAATATGATGGGATTCGAGCCCGATAAGAGAATTTGTGAAACCAACACATTTTTCAGTTAAACTCTTATGGTTTGGTTTGGACACGCCTCGTTCCACATCGAACAAGATAGCCAGTGATACCGCCGTTTCAAAACCAATAAGTATATCTTTATCAAATCTGAACTATCTCCCTTTTCTGGCCGTTTTGATGCGTAGCACACCACTAAGAGTTGATCGAGATAGTTTCAATGATCAGTACGTGGTCCAGACTAGTATCACTGTGAATTCGGTGTCAGTGATTTAAAACGGGGTATAAGGAAACGCACAATGCTTCAAAGACTGCATTGGTGGATGACACGATGATTCTGCCTGAAGACAAAGGCATAAGAAAACCAGATCTTCTAAACCGCTTCACATAATACCATATGGATAAAAACTTAGGTGTATCAACCAACCAATGTGTTAGGAAATCAATGGAAATTGAATCATGATTTGTTGAATGGTTAATACTATACAGAGGTGTTTTCATGCCTGCATGATTTATATATATTTATACATCAAGAAAGTCTAGACAAGAAATCCAAATGGGAATAATAATAGCACGATCGGCTTTATTGCTAAAGGTCCACCAATCCAAGATGATGCGCTATGAATAACCCGCAGTACCTTTACTATCAGTCACTCCGTCAACCGAACAGTCGGTGATACAAAACAATTCAATTGTGTACAATGTTTAAAGCAATCTGCCCCCCCCCATGAAACGGATAAACTTACTGGTGGACGACAAACCAGATTCTTATAGTCGAGCATTGAAGCCAATCCTNGCGCAACGATAGTAAGCCTCGAGTTTCCCAGAATCATCGTTGTTCGGGATCAGTTTCTTTTTATTGCCCTGGTAAAATATGTTCTGTACTTCATTTAGCCATCTGAAAAGCATAAAAGGATAAATTATGCTCTTTTAAATGAAACTAAATGTGAGATCCTAACAAGGAAAAAGCGGTTGTATCTCTAATGAGCTCATTATCATTATTATTATTATTATTATTATTATTATTATTGTTATCATTATTATCATCCAGAAAAANAAATTATCTGGAAAATATATACACTTACTTCTTCAACAAACGCTCCTTAGCGGCTTCAATGTGCTTTGTACATATTTGCTGAAAAGCTGTCAATTCAATGGCTGACGGTTTTGAATAGAGCTCCTCAATGTCAATGAGACGCAAATTCCTAAATATTAAAAAACATTAGGATTTAATGTTGATGACGGTCAATCCGTTTTGCAGGAGCGGTTAAAGAATACTCAAAAGACAAGATGCCTTTTATTCTGATCTTCAATAAAGCACAACTGGTGAGATTGCATTGATTTATTCCGGAGGAAATATTTCAAACTACTGGTCACCCTGAACTTAATAGACAAAAATTCATATTACAGATCAAAATTTGTTCACTACAGAGGCTTATCTGTAAAACAATGATATAAGTAAAGTCATGTTAAAGGGAAATACTAGTCAAGTAGATTCATGTATACCTTATAATGAACATAAGGCAAACAAACCTCATGAAGGAAAACCACCGTCTCAGGAGTAGCCACTTTAAACTGGAAGGGTCTCATTTCAATTTCACACTTTATTACCTTGATTTTGCTTTGTGTTTTGATTGCCCATTTGGTTACCCATCGAGGGAAAACTTAATGGAAGCAAAAACACCTTACACTACTATCAAGATACTGAGTTCAGGTAAACCGTATTGGCTTAGACTGTGATTAAATGCATGACCCCTACTACTTGCGATTAGTAGCCTTATCCAGGATTGCAGCTAAAACGTCTTTAAAGTTGAGCAAGAAGTATTGGACCAGGGAGTTGAATTCGACTTCAGTGACCAACAACACGGCTCAGAATTTTAATTCTCTTATTTAAAGTGTTACTCTGACCACATTTAACCTTATTTTGTCCACTATTTGCCCCGATCAGCATAGTACACCGATATATATATATATATATATATATATATATATATGACAGCGATCTGTACAAATACGGTACCAAAATAAGCATGGGTTGAGGGATAACTATAAAAACAGGAAAAGAGAGAACATAAAACAGTAAATTTTGGAATAACCTTTTATGATTGTTTGCTGCATGCCATTTTAAATTTTTTCTTTGTTTTCTTTTGAGTTTGGATACAAGTAGGGGTGCATTTCCGCCTTTGACTTTTTTAATGCAACATTCCGCAGTGTCTTTAACTGAGGACAATCTGAATCTTCAAAGCACCAACCGGGGAGCCGGGAAGCAGCGACGGAAGCTAAATCCGAACAACATATCTTCAACGATCTTCGCCACGTCATAGCCTGCTCACGGCGTTGTTTCTTTCAACTCGGATTAATTTCTTCAAATAGCGCACTTTTAGAACGTGCCTTAGCCAAATCAGACGATGCAGTGAAATGGTTTTGCTATACTCCCGCTATACGCGGGCGATGATGTGCAGATAACGGTTGTCGACGACAAATGATCGTTGAACATAGTGTGCTCAGAGAGACCAAGTTTCGCAACCGCAGAGCAACGCGGCGTGCACCGTGTACACGCTCCTTAAATGGAAGGGATATGTCCTGCCGGTGCCGGAGATGCCACGGGTTAGCAGACACTAGTCTCTCTTTGAGATCTCCTTATCCACACTTCCGCCAACAATAATGTAACTCCTGAGGTGATCAAAGCTTTTGATTACTTACAGAAAGTATCTAACCAACAAAATTAACAGGAACCAGTTCCTGTTAATTTTGCAATAACACCTTGCACTTTGAGGGTGTAATGGAATTATCATAACTAGCAGCCTCAATTACAAAACGATTCAGGGACTTTATCAGGTTTAGAAAAACGATAAAATTTGCAAGAAAAATGAATTTTTATAAATAAAATGCGTAAAGCACATAGGTAGATTTAAAAGCTAAATAATTTTTCTTAGTAAAACCAAAAACCCTGCGTGTTCTATCAAAATAGGAGAGATCATGGGTATTACTCTTTGTATTCTGTCAAAAATATTAAGCTGTTAGTAATGAAAGCAGGAATGGTTAACTGATAATTTTTGTTAATTCACACACTGTCATGTTTTTTGACTTACGCAAAACTTGTGTGCCATAGGTCCAAAACCTGTAACATGCAAGCATTTGTAACAAATAAGTGTCGTTGACAAAATCTGTGCGCAGCAACAAATGATGAGTGCCATGGTTTGGGAACGATTTCCAATTCTTTTCTATGTTCAGGTGGTTTGCATTCATCGTCTGTCATGTCACAAATCTTCTGTTTTTCGGTCATTGATGGGAGCTTATCAGCTGATTCTCGAAGCACAAAATCCACAATAGCCTTCTTAACGCTGAAGAGGTAATCTTCACGTATTTCATCCTCCAGCTTTTCCAAAAGAGCTGCATTGGCTGATTCCTGAGTCAGTCAGGGATTAAAAGAAACGTTTTAGTAGCGGAAATCATTTTAATTATTGAAATATATTTCTAGCATATTTTTCCAGCGAATGTATTGTTATAGTGCATAACAAAAATAAAACACTTTAAGTTAGAAAGCCGAGTATAGTCGGATACAAAGCAGTTTAATTGGAGGCTTATATTTTCAAATATATTTTTAAATTGTTTTTCATACACTTTTGAGTTCAGACTATGTGCCAAATAAATTATAGTACATTAATTTTTATTAAATGAAATCAGGTCCGTGATTTGCTAGTAGGCAGGATACTGACAGGTTGCCCAAACCAAAGCAGGTGAGTTTCCTTAGGGCGTTAAAAACCAGCACATTCGTTTATCCAAAGCCTGACACGGAAGGCGGTGCGTCTAAACCGCAATCTTTCAGGGGTATGTGCCCAGTAAATTAGATGATGCACCCTTTGGACGGGATCAGTGTGCTCAACGCACCACGATGCCCAAGCAATCCGGTAACCACTGCGCGAGCTAAGGTGTGGGTGTGTATTTAATTTGTGCAACTCTTCTTGGTTGGTTTTGAATCAAGGCTCTTAGAGAAATCCTCTAGATGAACCGCCAGTAGCTTACCGACCGGGTTATGGTTCTGGATACTGACCTCTTTATTTGGTAGAAAAACACCGCTCCGGGAAAGCAGTGAAAATGGCTTCCTTAGCAGAAACTATTTGAGATACCTGATGTTACAGAAGAATTTCATGAAATTAAGGGAAAAGTTGACCTNCCTGCCGCATTTCAAGGCACCCACCAGTGATCATGCTGAGGCTTTCGGAGAATCAATACACATTTCACTGAATAATTCATTATATTATGTGTGACATTTCCCATCCATCCAAGTTCAGACTGTTGGCTTAACAAATCATGTCGAAACTGAGAGTACTGCAACAAACTTTGATAAATTTACTGTTATGATAACACCAAATCTTTTTGGTAAAGTTCCAAGTCAGCATAGGGTTACACTCGAGAGTCATCGTTTCATCACTGAGGGGCATCTGGTTAAGCACATGTACGGAAGTCTGAAATGAGTGTGCATTTTGATCATAAAAATTAAGATTAATTCATTTTGGTAAAAAGTTCATGGTATAGCTAACCACTTGCCATAAATAGACATTTTTCACTGCATAAAAATCTACTCATTTAATGCGTTTATTTTTGCATTTGCAATGCGTTTGGCTCACTTAACTGTATTGAATGCTACTGTTTCCCTAGAAATGATATAATTTTAATCATTTATTCCCTTTACAAGTGTTTTCTTACGATTTCGATTTTAAATTGTTCAAATGAACCGATGAATTGCTGCCGAATTTAGTTCCATAGTGACCGAGAGTCACTAATCCGTTTCAATGGATACTAATCAGTGACTCTCGCGTGACAAAACGGTGCGTTTTCGGTAACTGAGCGGTAACCCTTGTGCTGACCGGGTTAGTCAAAAAATGAATAGACACAGTTTAAAAGAAAAATAACAACAGCATTTTTGTTTTAATCTCAGATTTTCAATGCGTTTTTATATTTACTATAAAAAATGTCATTTGCTAAGAAAATTATTCTTCACTTGGAGTAGTTCTCTGTAGACTGAATGTTGCCGTTACTAAAGATGTACGACTATGTAAAAAGCTTGCTTTGAAAATTATGTTATTTCTTATTAAAAGCAAAACCGGAATTAACATACCGTTTTCACTGATGTAACCAATAGTAAAGTCCAAATTAACAAAATCGTTAAAAATCTGTGTCTCACATAAAAGAATTTAATTTGAAGCATTACCTTTTTATAAATGGAATAAGGTTTAAGGAAGCCCAATTCAAAATATCACATGAGTACACGCTGCTTACCGTACTTTCTGTGTACTGCTTACCTTACTAGATCTTCCCTTAACTGTGATTTTTATTTTATGTTACCATTATTCAAATTTATAGGGCGGCTTGCTCTCAAAACAGCTACTGTATTGGAGAGCTGTTATTATGTATTCAGTATTGAAAATGTAGCACTTGGTTTGAATAGTCGGCTGAGTTTGTGATTATTCACAGTCAGAATCCAAGTCAATGGTTTAGCAACGGCGTTCAAAATCTAAAAGAAATTCACTAAATAAACAAATTATCGTTTCGTATTGGCGAAAAGCCACGCCAGGTAAAACTACCACGGTGAATCCTAATAAGTAACAACTCTGATCCACTCTAACAGTATCAGTTACCCAACCGAAGAGAGCATGGTAGTAACGCCAAAAATTCGTAGATATACTTTTTAATTTGTTTCCTGTTTATATTATCGGTTGTGCGAAAATGAGAATATCTTAAAGTAGCTCGCGCATGTCAGAAAAACCGAGTGACAAGAGTCATTTTCTTCAGCAGCCTAAGAGTTCACCTTCACCTTCTGGGACGAAAGGCAGTAGGAAGTTCTTCCGTATGAGCCTTCTCTTCTCCGAGTCCGGACAAACTATCCATCAACTCGCCGCCTGATTAATAAAAAATCAACCAGCAGTTGTTTGAGCTTGTCATCATTTTCCTCCTCTACCCATCCGCCGGGAGAGCATTCCAAATGTTGGTCACTCTTCTGGAGAGATGGTACACTGACGGAAATCCGGATGACTCCTAGGAGCTACTTCCAAAGCATGGAACGGTGACCACATGTGCGTGCATTGTTGCGCAATGGAAACTGTTTCAGCTTCTCCCCCAGATCACCCCGGATAATCTTCCTAGTCAGCAGGATGTCACCACGAATATATATGTATATATACTTACCACCGGCTTGTAGACAAGTATGATGCCAAAGCAACAACAATAATAAGAATAACAATAAAAGGGGACAATTGGATTGGGAAATATAACAAAGTGAAAAGGGGGTAAAACAGTTAAACACGAGAAAATGACAAGACGCTGATCATAACTATGTCCTCGCAGACCCGCAACCAGACGGGTAGCTGCTTGCTGTACACGTTCAATCTTCGCCATCTCTCCTCGTTTGATCGGAAAAGCCGTCGCTCCTCCATACTCCAGACGAGGACGGATTACCGTGGCTTACAGTCGTTCGAAGGCGTTTCTTGACACCGGTCCGAACGACAGGCGGATTGGACTCAGGATGCTCCAGATTGACGAACAAACTTTGTCCGTGTAGCCTCTGGTCTTGAGGGACGATGCAATGACCACCCCTAAATCCCTCTCATGGTCAGGTAAAATTCATGAGAAAACTTAAACTTTGAGTTGATCTAAGTAAAACAAGTTGGTCTATTAAACGAATAAACCTAATTCAAGCCGGGAAGGAAATATTTTGCATTGAGTTGGGCTAGCGCTCCCACAAACTGGTTATAATTGATATAGGGTTTAATTGACTTCATTTACGAAAATTGTTGACGTCAGACTTTAATGAATGCCATAAAGTAAGCCAAAGGAACACAATAACTCTTTACCCGGACACTCTGTCGAATCATTGACTGCATATGTTCCATCCATGATTCTTCCATTGGTGCAACATGATCCGTGTCAATACCGTTGAATATATAATAATAATATCGCTAAATTCAACTGAATACGATAAAATATTTTGTTACCAGTATATCTTTTTCTTTGGAGGCAATACCAGATGACTTCTCGATTTCTTCGGGTTCATAATTAGGAGCAAGTACTTCGAAAACTGAAGCGTCCTCTCCTCGACTAAAGAAGTTGCATAACAAAAAAAGGACATTACAGAGCAAGTTCTACCAAACCCCTTCGAAATGTTTCTTTTTTCTTCCTACTTTTTCTTGCCTCACTGTGCTTATTTGAATGTGAACGCTGGGTCGGCTCACTCCCTTAATAAATGATGAATTATTATTTATCAATTATTTAAGGCTTACGTGTTTTTAATTCCTTAATAAGATCAATCTTCGGCTCGACACCTAAAAGCTTTCGAGTGCTGTGCGTAAAATTGGGAGAGGTCAATTTCCATTGAGGTTGTTGTCTCAAGTCATCGAATACCGGGAGAACGAAATGAGTACCATTTCCAACTTTTGTTCGAGGTCGCGGTCGAGAACTCTAGAAGGTAAATATTATTCAAAGTAACTCACCATGATTTATTTATTTAATCACAGGAACATGTACATTCCATACAGTTTGAAAGTGCAAAGAGGGAGATCACTATGGTCCCTAAAATAACTTGGCTGATTTAAACAAAATCATTCAGTTCAGCCAAAGTCAGATTTTTGATTCAGCGTTGCTTCAGATATCAACACTTGATTAAACCGTGAGCGCGAAGTTATCCTACCTCAACTGAATGGACCTATCAGTGGCACAGTGATAAGTAATATTCCGTTCCGCTCAATTCAGTTTGCACATGACGGAGGTGTTCAGTTCAGTTCAGTTTGCACAGGACAGTAGTGGCCGAGACCAATCGTGCGTCCAGATCGTTGTGTTCTCAGCTAGTCTCCTTGGCTTCCAACACTGCTCGTCAAATGTTCGTTCTGCTTGTTTCTGAAAGGCAGAATATTTAGGTGCAGTATCTCATCCACCAGATATGTAGAAATGAAATACATTATTACAGGAACGACTCACCTTATTCCGTTTTGTCCCTAAAATGGCCAGCTCCGGGAAAACCACATCCCAGCACAGATCCAAGGCCTTTTGAAGNGGCTACAACTGTTGAGCCGCTTACAACATTTTCCGGCAATCTGTTCCACAAGGGTACCACCCGATTTGTGAAGAACCTGGCCCTCGGCTCCAACCTGGAGTGCTCTCTTTGCAGCTTAAGACTATGTCCTCTAGTGCCGCACTCTGGTGCAGGAAAGAAGAGGCTGCTTAGTTCTATGCCCAACAACCCCTTAACTATCTTGAAGGCTTCTACCAAGTCGCCCCTCGTCCTTCGGCGTGACAGCGAGAAAAGATTCAGGTCCTTCAGACGCTGCGAGTAGCTCTTTCCTATCTGTCCAGTAACCATTCTGGTTGCCAGTCGTTGTACCCTCTCTAGACACTCCATATCTTTGCGATAGT